TCTATAAAACGAACTCTTTTTTTCCTTTGGATATTTTTCTTCATAAATCCAAAATATATTCTCATGGAAAACTTCAGTAAATTGATTTAATAAATTTTGGTAAGAAGAGAATTAAGACAGTAGCTATTCTTATTGGATGTGGAGCACTGTACCACATCATCTAGTAATGTCACTTTCTATGTGAAAATCTTAGTACAAATCTCTCATAGTTTGCCCTACCCTTCCTTTTAAATCTCATATCTAATACTTGTTTGAAAGAATTCAGGGAAATTAAATTAAAAAATATTAGTAATCTTTCAATTTTTCATACTATAAATAAAAGGACAATCATTGGCTCCCTTTTTCTTATTCTAGGATGTGTCATACCGATGTAATACAGTTTAGATATTGTATTATACAGATTCTTTTTAACTAACCTGACTGACCTCTGTATGCCTGTTAACTGATATAAAATTGGGGTTTGAATACCTCTGTTTTCTTCAGAGACTGTCTTTTTCAGTAGCCTGGCCAAATCTTGATGGTTTGTCAATGTCAATTACCTGATTATTTAAGAACTTGTTTCAAGGTCTTGGGCTCCTTTACAATGGAGACCAAATATATTCTACATCATTGGTACTGGATGATAAAACAAAACTAGAAGAACATATAAGACATATTAGGTTGTCATTAATATTAGGTATAATTATATAATATAAATTCATGATTCTGAAATAGCTGGCATATTCTAGACTTCATTTTTCTCAAAGGTAATTTTTGTTTATCCTGTTCATTTTTATAAATAAACACTCACTGGCATTCATCCTTATTTTAATTAACATTAGCTGCATTGCCCAATTTAGTTCAATACTGAATTTTTTATATTGTTTCTTACTCATTCCTTAAAGACATTAAATTCAATAAATTATTTTCTTTAATTCTGGCTATTTTTCTATGAAAACTGCAAGGTATTTTCCCTTTGACCAAAGTACGTAAAGGACAGTAAAAAGGTTTTTTAAATGCTGAAAATGTTCATGTGATTGTTTTTCTATCTTTAGTGAAGGAAGCATGATATTACCAATGTCAGGTGTGATAAGAGAAAGGCAAATAAGTTAGAATTACAGAGAGAAGGGCCGGCCCGGTTGCGCACTGATACAGTGCACCGCTTGGGAGTGCAGTGGCGCTCCCGCCGAGGGTTCGGATCCCACATACAGACCGGCAGCTCACTGTTTGAGCGAGGTATGGGCGCGACACTGAGGGGTGCGATCCATTGCCGGTCATGAAAAAAGACAAAAAGGAAAAAAAAAAAAAAGAATTACAGAGAGAATAATATTTTAAGAAATGTCATATAAATAAATCAGTTATAATCAACAAATATTTGTTGAAGAAATGTCTGGTATCTTTTAAAGGATGGGTAAAACAGTATCAAGTCAGGTAATTCACTTAACCAAAATAAAGACAGAAATTTACTTGGCTTGTACTTTGTCAGAAAATTCCTAAAAAGAACACGTAAAAGCCTGAGAATTTTTCTGATTGAAAGGATGAAAAAGTTAAAGGTACCTTGTTCTGCTACATATATTAAAAATCTGTATGTTGTAACAATTGAAACATTTGTGTCTCATCATGGGGTATCTCTGTGAACAAAATTAAGGGATGTTTTTCCTTTATATCAGGGGTTTGCAGAATGCATTTCTCTTGCAAATAGCTTGTAATTTATTTTGCAAGTGTTCAGACTTAACAATGAATATGTTATTGTAGTTAGAGATGCTATGGTAAATTTATCAATGAGAGCCTATTAAAAAACAAAACAACTTTTAGAGAAAGCTCATTTATTCATACATCAAATATTTATTATATAACTTTGTGTTAAGCATTGTGCTGGGCAGTAAGGACAGAATAATAAACAAGACACACTCCCTCTTAAAAAACTTAACACAGATAATTCACCAACTACAGAAGTGATAACTAGTAGAACTGACTAAGCATAGTGTGCTAGGAAACAATAGAAGGTGTGTTCAATCCTGTGTCAAAGGGGAGCCAGTGAATGATTGTCGGAGGAATACTGTCTGAAAGCCAACCTGAAGGTCACATAGAGGAATCTAGGAGGTGGTCAAGAAGAGGAGGCTTCAGGGCAGAAGAATAATATGCAAGGGCATGGAGGTGAGAAAGCGGGGCAAAACAGTACAGTAATTCAGTGTGGCTGACATATAGAGTTGTGGGAGGATGTGAGGAAGAACTGCAAGAGATGAGGCTGAAGAAGTAAACAAGGCTTTATCTCAATAGTCTATATTTGGATCATTTCTCAAGGGCAAAGGGAAGCCTCTGAAAGTTTGTGTTTTAGAAAGATCAGTGTACTAGCTTTTTGAAGGATGGCCCAGATAACTGCAACCGTTGGGCAGAAAATGACTGCCAGAACTTAAGCGAAGGATAGAGAGAAGGGGCAGCTAAGGGGAGAGAATAATAATCTAGCAGATTTTGGGGGCAAGGAAAAAGTAACTGAGATAGGAAATATGGGAAGAGGAGTGGGCTTTTGTGGAGAAACACTAGATTTCAGTTTTAGAGGTCCCTGTGAGGCTTTCAGATATAAAGGTCTGAATTTCAGGAGAAGTGACTGAGATCACGTAAAGTGTTTATAGTAGTCCCCCCCCGTCTGTGGTTTCAGTTTCTGTGGTTTCAGTTACCCATGATACAGTACAATAAGATATTTTGAGAGAGAGAGAGAAAGAGACCACATTCACATAACTTTTATCACAGTATATTATTATAATTGTCCTATTAGTTATTGTGTTAATCTCTTACTGTGCCTATTTATAAACTAAACTTTATCATAGGTGTGTATGGATAGGAAAAAACATAGTATATATAGGGTTTGGTAAGATCTGGGTTTTAGTCATCTATTGGGACTATCTATAATTTCAGGCATTCACTGGGGGTCTTGGAAGGTATTCTCCAGTGGATAAGGGGAGACTACTATATATACAATGAGAAAAGAACCTAGAATGGAACCCTAAGACTCACCAAAATTTAAAGGATGGGCAGAAGAAAAGTCTATAAAGAAGCCTGGAGGAACGGCCAGAGAGGCAGGAGGACAGCTAGGAAGAAAGAGTATAAAGGAAGCCAAAGAAAAGGAGTGTTCCTAGAAATGATCAGCAGTATCAAATGCACTACCTGTGGCATAAGGTCCAAGGCTAGATTACAACTGAGGGTTAAGGATACCAAGGTAAGGAATTGGAGAGATCCAAATATAGACAACTCAAGAAGTTTGGCTGGGAAAAGAAAACAGAGATGGGTAGTAGCTGGTCAGTGGAAAGTCCTTCTCAAACTCAACATTCCATCCAGCTACTACATATATGTTTATCAATATTTATCAATAAGAGAGATTTAGGAACCCTTAAATGCTGATGGGAAAATACCAACAGAGAGGTGGAGGTTGGACACATAGGCCAAACAGAATAAGCAATGGAATGAGGTCCCTGAGAAGACTAAATGGGAGGCATATGTGACTCACAGCACAGTTGGTGTATTGATTTTTAGTTAAGAGGAAAAGCAAAAGGGATGGATGTGGATGAAGGGATTATTTTAAGTCCTGTGGTCAACTGAAAAATTATTTTCTAGGATATACAGGCAAGCAAAACAGATACTGTCTGTGCTCCCAGGGAGCTCTTCAAAGAATGTGCACAGACTCTTTTTGTATACAGATGAGTCAAAGATGACTTCTAAACACATCTGGTATTGAAGGGTAAAAGTACTCATCTGTCTGCTTCTAGACTCATAAAGTGGGTAAAATTACCAGGCTTTGGTAAAAAGAATTTGATGAAAAGTGATAGAGAGAGAGGCCATAAATTCCACTGACATTAAAACAGTAATCTTCCATGTCCATATTTCATAAAATTGTTATATATATTAAAAGGATTTACATGAAAAAGATAAGAAGAAGTCAAGTAGACCTCTAGTCCTATCTGAAAGGCAAATGGAATACTGGCATTTCTCAAATATTTGGAACTTACTATCCCTATCAATACAGGGCTAGTATGGAGGCAGGGAATAAACATTAACATGGACAAATAATAGCAGCTATACTTTCTGAGCATTTATTGTGTATTAAGGCCTACTATAATTTACATACATTAACTACTCTAATCCTAACAAAAACCTTATGAGGTAGTGTGGTAGGCAGAATAATAGTTTCCCAGAGATGTCAATGTCCTAATTTCCAGAACCTGCAGAGTATATTACCTTATACTGTACAAAGGACTTTGCAGATTTGATAAAAGATGTTGAGATAAAGTGATTATCTTGGATTATCCAGATAGCCTAATGTAATTATAAGGGTACTTATAAGTAAAAGAGGAAGGCAGCATGGGTTAGTGTCAGTGATTTGAAGATGCTACACTGCCGGCTTTGGAGATGGACAAAGACCCAAACAGGTTTGTGTGTACACACACATATATACATACACCCATGCACACACACATGCTTTCAAACTTTATAATGTAATATTCTTATTATGATTTACATGAACTGGCTACTTCAAAAACAGCCTGTTTTCACATTTTGTTATTTCACTGAAACATTCCATTAGACAGCAAGTCGATATTAAGATTACACACACAAAAAACATTGCCTACTATATGGTTGACCCTGTGCTCTGTACAGGGTATGCAAAGATGTCATGGTTCTTGACTTCAAGGAGTTATGGTCTAGCGTGGAGAAGCATCTAATCTAAACAAGTGGATCAAATATCATAAATGCCAAAATGTCCAGAAATAATGGGAGGGATGGTCATTCCTCCAAGGATAACAGAAAAGGCTTCATCAAGGAGGTGATCCTTGAGGTGAGAAATTTTTCAGAAAAGGTATTTCACTTCCAGCAAAGTTTTCCTGAGTAATGAAGGATATTTTAATCACTGTTAAATAGTAATAACAATTGAAACGATTGTAACCTATAACAACTATTTTGTGTGTATACCTTTATCATGCAAAGACTTTTCACACTACTCTTTATAACAAGTTAAGTTTACTTACCGTTATTTTACGAGGACAGTCATTAGAACACAGACCACTAAGAACTGTGGAAAAATAAAGAACAGGCTATTACTGCTGTTATAATGTAAGCTATATTTAAAGTAAGCTCTAATTTCCCCCCTAAAATCCATTAATATGCTCCATGTGATTCCTGACCACAAGCAGAAACCTGTTAAATTTCTTTAGATCTGAGCAATTTAAATTTCTGCTGTTCAATTTACTATAGTATGTTCACATTAAATACAACTTGGGGAAACAGTGAAATTAATATTTTACACTTGCAAAACAGTTTTCATTATTTAAATTTCTTACCCTAGCACAGTGCCTAGTTCTTACTCTTTTATTCTGAAGGTTTCCATGCCCAAACTTCTCCCTCTCCTGTGTTCTTCTTCTCTCAACTCTAGGTAGACATTGGTACTTTTTCGCAATTGTCTCAAATTGATTTTCATAAGCCTTAATTTGAACCAATATCTTGCTGAACAGTAATTACTTACTCACATGTCTGTGAATTTGGATGTTAGCTCTGCATCATTTAATCCTTATTTTCTTAGGGTCTAACCCAACACATTTGTTCAAATACTTGTTAAAGGAGAGGAAAAGATGGATTATTCAGTAAATGGTACTAGATAATTGGCTACTTGGAGGAAAATAAAGTTAGGGTTCACCTCACAACATAATTTACATTTGGCACAGACAATAATAATAAAAGGACTCTTACATCTCAATAAAAGGACAACCCAATTAAAAAATGGGCAAAGGATCTGAATAGATATTTCTCCAAAGAAGACATACAGATGGCCAGTAAGCTCATGAAAAGATGCTCAAAATCATTAGCCATCAGGGAAATGTATATCAAAACCACCATGAGATATATACCCATGTTCACAGCAGCAGTATTCACAATAGCCAAGATGTGGAAGCAACCCAAATGTCCAATAATAGATAAATACATGAATAAAATGTGGTAAATACATACAATGAAATATTATTCACCTTAAAAAGGAAGGAAAGCCTGTCAAATGTTATTACAACATGGATGAACATTGAATATATTATGCTAAGTAAAATGAATGAGTCACAAAGAGGTAAAATACTGTACGACTCCACCTAATGAGATATCTAAAGTGGTCAAATTAACAGAGACAGAAAGTAGAATGGTGGTTATCAGGGCTGGTGAGTTGTTTAATGGATATGGAGTTCCAGTTCTGCAGGATGGAAAAGTTCTGGAGATGTGTGTTACAACAATGCAAATATATACTAATGAACTATACCTTAGAAATGGTAAAGATGGCAGACTTTATGTTACACGTTTTCACCACAATGAAAAAAATGGTTAAGATGGTTTAAAAACCAAACCCACAATTACCTAACATTTTGTACCGACTAAGATGGCTATAATAAAAAAGTTAGATAAAAATTTTGTTGAGAATACGAATAAATTGGAACCCTTACACATCGCTGGTGGGAATGTGGAATGGTGCAGCTGCTTTGGAAAACAATCTGGCAATTCTTTAAAAGGTTAAACATAGAGTTCCCATTTGAGTCAGAAATTCCCTTCTAGGTATAGCCCAAGAGAAATGAAAATATATATTCCCACGGAAACTCGTACATTAATGTTCACAACAGTATTATTCATAATAGCCAAAAGGTGGAAACCATCCAAATGTCCATAAACTGATGAATGGATTAAAAAAAATGAGGTATATACATGTCATGTGATATTATGAGTATTTGGCAATTAAGAAGAATAAAGAACTGATGTATACTACAATATGGATGAACCTTGAAAATATTATGTAAAGTGAATGAAGCCAGCACATAAGACCACATATATGATCCCATTTATATGAAATGTCCAAAACAGGCAAATCTATGGATAAAGAAGTACCAAATAAGCAAATCTATGGAATAGTGGTTGCCTAGTGCTGGGAGAAGATGGGAGTTTAAGGGTGACAGTTAAAGGATACAGGGTTTCAGAGGCAGAAGCAACACAGAGGAGACAGGAGTGACCTGAGCTCACGGCCACCATGAGCCTCCTCAACAAGCTCAAGAGTGTGATGACCCCAGAGGAGTTGCAGAAGCAGGAGAGTTAAAGGATACAGGGTTTCAGAGGCAGAAGCAACACAGAGGAGACAGGAGTGACCTGAGCACACGGCCACCATGAGCCTCCTCAACAAGCTCAAGAGTGTGATGACCCCAGAGGAGTTGCAGAAGCAGGAAGAAGAATTTAACACAGGTCCACTCTCTGTGCTCACACAGTCAGTCAAAGAAGGAAATCCTGTCAAACAACACCCAACAATACCCAAGTGCTCATCAACTGCAGAAACAACAAGAAACTCCTGGCCTGCGTGAAGACCTTTGACAGGCACTGCACCATGGTGCTGGAGAATGTGAAGGAGATGTGGACTGAAGTTCACAAGAGCGGCAAAGGCAAGAAGAAGTCCAAGACAGTTAACAAGGACCACTACACCTCCAAGATGTTCCTGTGCGGGGACTCGGTCATTGTGGTCCTGCAGAACTTGCTCATTGCTGGCAAGTAGGGGTTCTCTCCCTGCTGTCAGAACTCATTCCCCATCCTGCAAAGGATTTGTGATTGTAATAATAAAGTTGTGTGTTAAAAAAAAAAAAAAGGATACAGGGTTTCTTTTTTGTGGTAATGAAGATATTCTAAAATGATTACAGTGATGGTTGCACAACTTTGTGAACATGCTAAAACCACTGAATTGTGTATTTCAAATGGTTAATGGTATTGGTATGCAAATTATATTTTAATAAACTGTTAAAAAATACAAAAGATACCTTAAAAATATAAAGACTAATGACAAAGGAAACAAACATTTTTGTAGCATAACATTATAAAGAAATACTATGGCTAATAAAGAAAAAACTTCTAGGTATCAGTTAGAAGAAGATAATTCAATAGAAAGCAAAAAATTTTGAGAAATAATATCCAGAAGAGAAAATGCAAATAATCAAAAAACATGAAGAAAGACATTAAACCTCACTAGTTAGGAAAATGACTCATTTTGTACCGAACAGATATGTAAAAAATAAAAGAATGATAAAAATGTCTGTAACAGTAAAATCAAAGATAAATGAAAAACTAGGAAAAATTTCGCAATATATATCAAAAAGTTTTAATTACCCTAACATATGCTATAATAGTACATTTATAAGTCAATAAGAAAATATGAAAGGACAAAGACTGTTCACAGAAATAAAAATACAAGTGGCTCTTAAATATATGAAAAGATGCAGAACTTCACTCAGTTTAAGAAAAATGCAAAATAAAAACAAGACAATATTTTTCATCTACCTAACTGGCAAATATTAAAAAGTGTAATAACTCCTTAGGTTGGTGAAGGTGTTAGGAAATGTGCATTTTCATATACTGTAGGTGGAAGTGTAAACTGATACAATTTCTAAAAGGGACATCTGTTAAGGTAAGAAATATAATATAAAATTCAAAAAGTATACTTTTCCATATGTATATTTCAATAAAATGTTCATTTAAAAAATAAATATGTAGTCTTGAACAATTCCATTTTTAGAAATTTATCCTATAGGTCACTCAGCCTTATTTATAATAATAATAAGAGATTGAAAATAATCTTGATATGTCAATAAGGAACTTTGTCAATTATATTGTCTGTATACTTAATGATACTATTCAGTAGTTAAATAGTGAAGCAGCTCTAGATGACACATTATGCTTGCATATGCACAAAAAGTACCAGACAAATACCAAGATGAGGTTGTCTCTGGGAAGAGTAATGAATTGCTGGGAGAAAGAGGTGAAAGGGAGACTTACTTTTCACCATATACTCTTTTGTATATTTTATTTTTACCATTTGTATATATTACTTATTTTAAAAACAAATTTATTAATAAAATAAAAATTTATTATTCTCAGATAAGTATGTTGTAAACTGGACAGTATCTTATGCTGGTAGGAATATAAATACCTACAGCTTTCAGGGAAGGTAATTTGTTATTATCTATTTATATTAAAAATACAGTCCCTTCAACTCAATTTCATGTCTATGAAATATTGGAAACCACCTAAATATACACTAAGAAAAAGCTAAATAAACTGTGGAACATCTTTGATACAAAGCTATTAAAAGAATGAGGAAGGTCTGTAAGTGCTGACTTGAAGATGTTTATACTCTATTGTTAAGGTAAAAGACCAGGCACAGGCAAATATGAGGGTACTTCAAAAAGTTTGTGAAAAAGTAGAATTGAAACATAATATGAATCTTTCCATGAACTTTTTGATGTACCCTCATGTTTAACAAAATTCTACTTAAAATCTACATGTTCGATGAATCTTACAGATACAGAGTTGAGCAAAAGAAGCCAAACACAAAGACTACATACCGGGTAGTTTCATTTATATCATGTTCAGAAACAGGGAAAACTAATCAATTGTGACAGAGGTCAGAATAGTGGTTACAGCTATGCAGGAGTTACTGACTGGGTGGGGGGATATGAGGAAAACTTCTGGGTACTGGAAATGTTTTATCTTTATTTAGATGTGGTTATAAGGGAGTATACTTATGTAAATATTTATCAAGCTATATACTTTACCTTATTTCTTCTGTTAATACCCACTGCTACAACTTTCTTTATCCCTTCACACCTAGATGACTATACTCCAAACTGGTCATTATAGGTCTGACCATTTTTTTTTTTTTTTAGGGCAGTCAAATTTAGCAGTGAGGGGTTGTATACCAATTTTAGTGACACAAATGTTAATAAGTTCTGATGATAGAGTCTGACTTCCTGATAATGAATACCTATTTTTTTCCTCTGAAAATTCTAGCAAAATTCACCTTCTTAATCCACACATTTTATCACAGCCTCTTTTTGATGAAGAATTTTAATAATAAGTATGATGATTCATTTTATATATTAACTTGACTGAGCCCAAGGTGCAAAGATATTTGGTCAAATGTTGTTCTGGATGTTTCTGTTAGGGTGTTTTTGGATGTGATTAAGATTTAAATTGGTAAACTAAGTAAAGCACACTGTCCTCCAAAAT